TATACTGATATTTGTCTTTTTAGATATGATCAATTGGAAAAATTAGACGAAATATTACATGAATTTTTCATTTGTATATGCTCGACAACATCACGAAATAGTATGTCACAAATGACAAATACTGGCTTATCATCAAATTATTCTGCATATAATTCAACAAATAATCAAGGTGCACAAAAAACATTAAATACTGAAAATTTAGCAGCATCAATGGATTATATGAATTCATCATCACAACATATACGATTTCAAGTATTTTTTTTTTTCTCAAAAAAAATTTTAAGATTTTCTTTTTTCTTTTAGAATATCCATCCTGATCATCCTATGCCTATTGTATCAAATTCAATGGTTTCATCTTATTATCCACAGAAACCTACAAATTTATCATCAACATCATCAATTATGCCTCAAGTCATGTCTTCACGTCATTTACTTGATCCAAATCCAATGATGACTTCACATTTATCTGTTCCATTATATTCAGCAAAAGGTTCACAATCAGTACCTTCATCATTTCATCCAATGAATAATTTAATTCCATTAATTGATCCATCACTTGGTCCTCAACAAGAAGAACATATGAATTTTTCATCAACGGTGAACAATAATAATGATATGAAACCACCACCTCACTATCCAATGTATTTAAATGATGATCAACCACCTCCTTATTCATAAACTTTTTATCTCTTTTTTTTCTCTTCCAAAGAAATGATCATCACATAAGAATAATACTCTAGGACTATTCATATTTATCAAATGACATATTAAATAAATCAGAAAAAAGAAATAACAACATTCTTCTAATTATAAATTCATTGAATCATTAATAATTCAGACTATTGAAAAATATGTTATCATTGTTCTTGTTGACGACATCGGTCAAATACAATAAACGAGCATATATATATTGACTTTTCTAAGGTCAAACGAATAGATAAATGAAGAGAAATATGAAAAATTCTTGTGTCGAATTGAATGATATACCAGACGAAATTCTTTTAATAATTTTCAAAAAACTGAACAATCTTGAAGTTCTTTATTCCTTTCAAGGTGTCAATGAGCGACTAAATAAAATAATACATGATCCAATATTTACAAGTCGTTTAAACTTTCTCCAATGGTCATCTAATAAATTTATCAATAAATTTTCTTCTGATGTCATACTTAATCGATTTTGTTTACAAATTCTACCTGAAATTTGTATGAAAATCAAATGGTTAGATCTTGAATCATCATCTATGAAACATATTTTATGTGCTGCAGATTATCCGAATTTATATGGACTCGGTCTATATAATATTGAAGAAGAAGCAGCTAGATGTCTTTTTACTGGTAAGAAAATCACAATAGAATTGTTTTAATATTAAATAAATGAAATACTTATTAAAATTAACATGAATTCTTTGATGAAATTATTAATATAGTTGAATATATATTAAATAACTTTAATTTCTAGTTTATATTTGAATGAGTAAAGTTGTAAAATTAAAAAAAAATCATATACACAAATTAGAAAATATTCTTAATGAGTACATAACGGTATTTATAAAATAAATGTTGATTCTTTAAAAAAAATTTTTTTTGTGAACGTTGTTTAGAGAAGAGAACTCATACGAACGAGAGATTATTTTTTACAAAATTAATTTGTTTCTATCAAAGATTATCTTAGTCTTTTGGCTATGTATGCTAATCTTTGAAATATAATGAATATATATAAAGTTAATTATGTTGTTTAATACTATTTATGTGTTTAGATGAAAGTGCTTCATCTAGTATTTATAAAAATCAAATTACAACACTGATTATTGAAATTAATCCAAATTATAATAAACTGTGGACAATGGAATATATATGCAATCATATCTTTTCTGTGTTTCTGAATTTAACTCATTTAATATTTTATGAATCATCATATAATAATATTGTTCGATTATTATTTGATTTTCCATCTCCCAAGTTATCGTCTTCAACTCTTTTGGTATTAAATATCAAGGTTCAAAGCTTTTATATCTGTCTTTATCTTCTTGATGGTCGTTTTAATCAACTTCATACACTCTATATTGAATTGACTCATATATTTCGTCCAGACGAAGAAATTGAAAATCAAGTTAGTTCTACAAACAAAATTAATTTGTTTTTGAATTAATTTTTATTTTTCTAGATAAAAATACCGAATCTTAAGTGTTTTTCTTTATCATGTGTTTTGGAAACGACATATTACGATGAATTAATTTTACCACTTCTTTATCGAATGTCAAATTTAGAAAAACTTGGTTTATATCTTTCGATCTTTGTCTATGAAAGATTTATTGATGGAAATAATTTGAAAAAAAATATTCTTAATCATATGTCACAATTAAATCAATTTTCATTTCATATTCATTCCCGAATGTTTATTAATAATGAAATGAATTTGCCATCAAAACAAGACATTCAACAGACATTCAGAGATTTTAAAGATAATCAAATTATTTCTTATGTTGATTATTTTCCAGAACGAAAAAAAGGTCAATGTAATATTTATTCATATCCATTTCTAATGAAATATTATGAAGATATAACAAATAATTTTCCAGGTGGATTATATCCATATGTTCGTGTAGTATCATTATATGATGAATATCCTTTTGAACATGAATTTTTTATTCGAATTTCTCAATCATTTCCATTTATGGAAAAATTAACTTTGATTAATCGTCATGCACAAAATTACAAACAATCTTATAAAACAATTAATGATAATCAGAATTTATCAATTGCTAAATATTTTTATCTTACTGAACTTGATATTGAACAAGTTCATGATGATTATATCGAAGAATTTTTATTTAATACAAAAACATATTTACAAAATAATATTCTTCTTAGTATCGATTGTAAATCATTAGAAAGAGTAACACATAGTTTTACAAGAGATGATACAAGAATTAATTGTACCAAAATAAATGAAATATATTTATTCAGCGATGTGAAATATTCGAAATTTTTACACAATTATTTTCCTTTTGCAAAAATACATTGATTTTTTTTGTTATTTGTATAATATAGATTATTATATTGAAAGGCAAAGAATTAAAAAAAGAATAAAATAAAAAAAAATATCTTGTGTATGGTTGTAAGAAAATAATGACTATGGAGTAATCATTATGTTCATGTGTGAGAAAATGAATTTATTTTATCTAATAAAAGTATTTGTATAAATCAAGACATTCAAGTGTTAATAAAGGACTTTTTATTTTACACCAAGGGAAACAAGCTGATTTTTTAGTACTAGAAATCACTTGAAATCATAATGTCAGTTTGTTCTTCTAATGTAATCGATCAAATAAGTTTAAAGAAGAAATCAAGGCGAGGGACAAGATTCTATCTACTTCAAAAAAAAAATTGGAGTACAGCTGATGGGCATGGGTATGGGTGTAACATAATAACTTCATTGTGTGATCATATATTCTAGAAAAATAAATATGCTGTTTAGTTAAATACCTTGTCTCTTTTCTTAATAGTTATATTATGCAGGATTTCGAATCATAGATAACATTAACTGATAAGAAAGACAACAATGGAGAAACGTCCATTGACGTGAAAAGAACGTTATAATAATAAAATGAAAACATCTCTTATTAAAATCATGATAGAAACAGAAAGATATCATATAATATTGTGCTTTACATGAAATATAAACATTTAATACCATTCAAACAGAAATATATATATATATGTTCAGCAGATAAGCAATATGTTTATTAAAATTCTTGCTTTTTTTGTCATTTATTTATAACACTTATCTCGCACAAGTGTTCCTATGTCACCTAACCCGCAACGATTCAGTATTACTGCCGAAAAACCTAAGGGCTCTCTACAAATCGACATCAACTATGTTGATCGTTTAGCAGACGTTTTTTGCATTAATGTAACTAACGAAGATCGTTTCACTGAACAAAGAGAATTATCCAGATATGTTATAGCAATGGCAGACATTATCTGATGCTGGCAAGACAAAGTTTATCAGCAATCCGAATTTAGAATATAACATGTGAAATAAAATTGTGCAATTTCAGACATGGAATTATCTTGCTTCTGTTAAAGATAAAACGTCAATTAAAACCTTGAATAATAGTATTCTTATATCTATGTATAGAAATTATAGTGTTGGATCATTTGTTGTGCCAAAGAATGTGTTTAATTTACCTGTTCCATACAACACATGCAAATAAATAGATTCTAGTCTTTATATAACAATACTAATTCAGTGTTCATCTTTGTGTCAATTTTATTCTCTCCGTTTCAACAGTTGACAATTATCATATAATACATACATATTCATTCAAAACATTTTTCATTGATAAACTAATCTCATTATTTCATTCATGTATCAATAAAAATTTCTTCTTTTGACTTAGTTCATATAATTAAGAGAACTAAAGTCAAAGTTAATATTCATTAACGAACATCTCTTCAAAAATCTTTTAACAAACTCCAAATAAGCAGACAAATCTAACAGTAAATTGCAATATAAACATTCAGCTTTGAATCGGATTGTATGAAACTAAGTTTAGATTTTTTATAGCTTCTTAGAATAGAAATGGTATAGCTCATGGTTGTGATAACTTTCTATTTGTTTCGAAAAGCGATTGAATCATATTACCAAAAAGATTCAAACAAGATATTCATATCCAAAAATATCGAATAAAAGACATATATACTACAAGTAATAATAACATTTCATTCTCACTTCATCCTCTTTTAGATTTGGTGTCATACCATAAATTTCTGCAATTGTCTATCGTTGAATATCAATGAAAAAAAAATAATGTCGTAATCGACAAATGAATAATTGATTTGATAACAAAGATTCTTTCACTTACATTTATCAATAAACATTTATTTGAATTTGTATTAAATCAACCCACATACTAAAAAAGATTAAAAAATCAATTCTTCAATTAGAAACTTCTGCAATTCTTACTTGTAAACCCTTCGTTATATAACGATTTTCTTCATAAGTAAAAGCATCGCCAGCATAGACACTATTGTCATGAAATCAAACTTTTTCACGTTGAGATATTTCACCAATTTCTTCTAAATTATTATATGAACAACATGATGTTGTTCCTACTATATTCAAAACCTAATTTCGTACAAAACTTTTTCGATACAGAAAAAATCATAAACCAAAAATGGTATGAATCCTTTTATTTATCAACTCGAATACATTTCTCTAAGGATTTTTCACATAATGAAAAATGTTCACCAACAGCAAACGGACGAACAAAAATCATACAAATTAAATCAGCTTTTTCTACACGTGAATATGCCTTTTGGCATTGCACCTAAGCCACGACCGATCTCAGCAGACCCTTACGCAATGAATATCGCCGATTTGGCTGATATTTTTACAGTAGGCAGATCTAACAGATTTATGAAGAAACTCAAAATTTGCAGCTCAAATAGCTGAGTCATTTTGGAGATATAGACATTGCAAGTATTGGGGGGTAGGCTATTTTTGGAGCACTTTTCAGAGCAACACGTTTCAGTAAATTTTCATTTTCTAAGTAACGATAAGAGTTATAATTGAGATTTTATAACGACAAATACTATCGACCATGGGCTATCCTTTGATGATATTAAAAGTACCTCATCATTGGATAATTGTTGCTTGGTATTATACACCATTTTCAGAAAACACGTCTACCTAGATAAAGCAAGTTAGTCGGACCAGCGCAATAGAGTAATTCGAGAATGGCCTCATTTGAAAGAGCACATCAAAAGACGTGGAAATCCATTCTTAAAACTTTGTGATATTGAATTTCAGTATAGAAAATTTTTTCAACAATATCCTGCATTTTTATAAAAAATCCTTGGCTAGAAAAACATATGTGTATGCTCGATATTTTTAACATATTACTACTATAGATTGTCATTTATGGTAAAGTAATTATATATCCTGATAGTGTGTAAAACTCTCTACAAATCTATATCTACAATGACTTCCATACTTTGATTTTAAATATAATTTATTATTCTCCAACAGAACATTCAAGTTATTTTTATCTTCACGTGATAACAGTAGTTGTTGGATTATCTTGTATAAGTTCGACCAACCTTCATTAGCAGCTTAACGAATTCATTAACACCTGATATAAGTTTTTGTTCACTTGCATGAATACTATCTAATATAGAATAAATCATTCGATCTAACATTGGATCAATACCCACTTCGTTACAATGTTGTTTATACAAATAAATAACTTGACTTTTTGTGCTTGTAACATTTGTCGAGGTATGGAAATAATTTCACCATTTTCCAATTTCAGATTAGTATTTCCCTAAGGAATTGATATTAAAAGATCAGATTCAGTAATCCAATTAATGAAGTAATCAATTTTATTTGAATCTAGACGCTGTCTAATCTTTGGTCTAAACAAATATGGATCAAATATTAAAAAAACAATGACAACTTTTTTTCCTTACATTTTTTCATCAATATGCAGAGGAATATCACTTATTGTGTTTAATCGTCGTGCTGTTTTTACTGCATAACTTGAGCAATTAAATTTTTCTTGAATCATGATACTAGTTAAATTTCATGATTGTGGTATAAGTGATAAAACACGAACTTGTTCATTAAATGGTAAGTTGTTTTCTTCATAAGATCGATACATTTTAATCAAATATTCAAGATATTGTTCATCAATTAGTATATCCGATGATGCTGCAGCATTTGCTGATGCTCGTTCAGTAATTCTATCTAATTGTGCTAGCTCGGCGAGCATTTTACCTTGTCCGGGTGCAATACTTTCAGCAAAATTTTCCGCTAAAATATTATATAATTTTGTATAAAGAAGACAACCTTATTAATCAAAGATATTACCTGCAACAGAAACAGCTCGACGAAGTTTAGCAGTTAAACGCCGAATAGCACCTGGTGTTTGTTCTTCTAGTCGAACTGTTGCTTGACTTTTTAGCGGACTTTGATCCAAAGACATTAATAACGTATTTGTATGATTTAATTCATTGAAATCTCGGTTCTTATTGATTTCAATTTCATAAGAATGAATTGCAGACATAGCATTTAATTCATCAGCTACTGATTGCTGTGCTTTTATTGTCGAATAGACATTTTTTAGGTGAGGTGCACACAGTCTACCACCATAAGGAAACTGTATAAGATGTCGTACTAAATGAAATGGTGCGACTCGATTATTTGATGATGAATATTTTTTTCTTTTTTTGTTTTTTTTTAGGAATATTGGAGAAATCTTTGTGATCCGTGTGTGCAAAATAAGTACTATCTTTCCAACCAATACCAAATGTATATCGATGCAGGGGACCTAGAAAATTCATTGATAGAGAAGATAAGAAGGTGGCTGAGCTCGAGTATCATTGTTTCTTTGCACAGAAAAGAAAAAAACTCGAATGAAACGTACAGATTTTAAGATAAGGGATTTCAATATCCACATAGCGTTTCAAACGATTAAGAATTAAGCTACAGTCGGAAACTTAATAAGACCCTTGATCAAATATACAAATAACACCAATTTGTACTAAATAAGAAACTATATTATCTTTTAAATCATTTAAATTAACTACATTAGAAGACCAGTTGTCAAACCCTAAAATAAATATTCCGCAAGAACGGCTAAGTGAAAAATAAATCTTTTCACATACTATTCGACAAATATGAGCTACAAGAACCAAGGACATCGTATAGACAACATTCATTCATATCCTCCTTGGCATTCATTTCCATATACATTGCAATTTTATTCCAAATAGAGAGAAATCAACATAATCCTAAACAAAATTACTTGATGATATATTGATGATTTGATAATAAAATCAAATATGCCTTCAAAAAAGTCAAAAGCGAGACGAAGTGATGAAAAAACAACTCAAATCTTCAGATTTATTCTCAAGAGTTACTAAAGCAAACAAGTGTATTTCCGTTAGCCGGCGAAAAATAATGACAAACGAAACATTATTCAACCATTCAATGACGAACAATGGTTCTAACGGACATTTGTTTCTAATAGCAACTTATAAAACGAAAAGCATAAGAAGTAATTTTTAGAACCACCAAGTTTTTTCGATGTATGTATTAGTTACTCCTATAAATACAACTTCCAAACTTCATTTTGCACATATTATCAGCATAGTTTGCGTCAACATCTGAAACGATATCTATTTTTCATACTACATATATATCACAAATATATTTGAGTAAAAATTTTGCTCAATATTCTTTTTAACAGCTACTTCTGATAATAAAGAGTATTAAAGAATTGAGATACTACTTACTTTTTATATATTTTCTTTGAAATATTAATAATTTCTTGGATGAAGATAAAACTCAGGTTCCTTGAACAATGTTTGAAATCTTACACAAAAAGTAGTTAACGAAATTGTAGATTTTAAATATACAGAATGACGGGAAACTTCACACATCAGAAAAATACATAATCACATCTGCAATAACTTTTATCAATAGTTAGATAGTTTTAAAAAAACAAGTAAAAAAATGACAAAATATTACTGTTTAGATAAATATGGGGATAATAGTGCCATCACTATTTTAGATTCTTTTCAATTAAATAAGCTTTATTCTGGATATTTGTAAATATAGATTTGTAGAGAGTTTTACGCGCTATCAGGATATATAATTACTTTACCATAAATGACAATCTATAGTAGTAATATGTTAAAAATATCGAGCATACACATGTTTTCTATCCAAGGATTTTTTATAAAAATGCAGGATATTGTTGAAAAAATTTTCTATAATGAAATTCAATATCACAAAGTTTTAAGAATGGAATTCCACGTATTTTGATGTGCTCTTTCAAATGAGACCATTCTCGAATTATTCTATTGCGCTGATCCGACTAACTTGCTTTATCTAGGTAGACGTGTTTTCTGAAAATGGTGTATAATACCAAGCAACAATTATCCAATGATAAGGTATTTTTAATATCATCAAAAGATAGCCCATGGTCGATAGTATTTGTCGTTATAAAATCTCAATTATAACTCTTATCGTTACTTAGAAAATGATAATTTACTGAAACGTGTTGCTCTGAAAAGTGCTCTAATAATAGCCTACCCCTCAATACTTGCAATGTCTATATCTCCAAAATGACTCAGCTGTTTGAGCTGCAAATTTTGAGTTTCTTCATAAATCTGTTAGGTCTACCTACTGTAAAAATATCAGCCAAATCGGCGATATTCATTGCGTAAGGGTCTGCTGAGATCGGTCGTGGCTTAGGTGCAATGCCTCCTAAAGAACTTTATATTTGAAAAGAAAACACTTTGTCCATCATACAAGTTTTGATATATAACAAACGAGTCAAGCTAAAATTTGTCCATCTTTCATTAATGAATTCAGCTTGATATTTACTTGTTATATCTTCTTTGTATGCGCTGCTAGCATTGTCACAAGAATACATTCACTTGCCGAATCCTATATTAAAATTTCTCGTCGAGTTTTAAAAGAAGAAATTTTCTTCTTCGAATTGATGATTCTAATCCTTACATAAATTATAAGAGACAAGAGTTTTTCTGCGCAATTTCAAATAGAAATGATCAGATAATATCAGCCACTATTTGTTCGGATTATACTGATTCTAATAATTGTCAGAAGTATTCGACAGTTATTGTTTTTATCCTAATGATTTTGCTTTATATAAACAAGTGTTCGAACACATCATTATGACATCAATACAAAAAAAATGAACTAGTTGTTCATTACAAAAAAATTTTTTTTTTCAGATATTTAATTGTTTTAAAACAAGTTATTTGTTGAAAAAAATAAGGGAATTCACTTTGTTTATTAGAGAATTATAGAACCATTATTTATTCAATAAATGTAGCAATAAAAGGTGGATAGTAATAGAAGAACGAAAGAAAGAATTTAATTGTTAGTAAAAATAAACGAATCAATTACTATCCTCTATTAGATGTATATGTCTATCGATGAATACAGTGATATCATCTAAACGAAAACAAAATGGCGTCAGAAAAAAAACAAATGATTCACTGATAAGCAGTCTCTGTATGTTGTCTTTGCCATCAAGTTCTTTCTTATTTGAATAATTCAAGTGTTATCTATTGTTTCGATTTATTCAATAGTCAGTCTTACTGATGTTTGTTGTACAAAGATAGATGGTTTTTGTTTTACTTGCCATTTTTATAATTGGGAGAATTTAGTTTATATGTTTATTAGTTATTTTCTTCGTTGTTCTGATCAATTCTATTCTATAGCTATTCATTTTATTAATTTTAAATCATTTAAAATGATTGTTTTTTTTTGTTTTGATTATTTTAGAAATATGATATTTTTATTGAAACATATCGGAATAAATTGGAAGTACGGTCCTTTCCAAGTCTTAGTCATTTTACTCAACCAGTATCATCAATTTGTTTATCAAATTCTTTATTATTTGTTGGAACAAGGTAAACATTAAATTGATTCATATTTTTATTTCTTATATATTAGTTTTAGAAATTTTAAAGTCGTAATGACTAATCTTAATGATGAGTCAAATAAAATGAAGTATTTTGATGAACGTTAAGCGCCTGTGCTTGCATTCAATTTATATGAAGAAAAACGATGGCTAGTTAGAAAGAATTGTTTTTTTTTAATTGATAAGAAAATGAAATCTTCTTTTTAAGGCAACATCATGTTGTTATAGTTCAATTCGTGTATTTAATCTTGATAAACAAATATTAATAAAACAATTCAATATGATTAATAAATCAAATGATATTGAGTAAAATGTAAAATAAATATTTTCTTCTTTTTTTCTAATTAATTTAATTTAGAACTACTTTATTATTAGTAAAGATGGATTGGGATAAAAATGATCATGTAAGTGTTACAAATTATTTTATTTAATTGAAAATTTTATGTCGAAATATTTATAGATGTTAGCTATTCCCGTGAAGAATACAGTTCAATTTTATGAAAGTGAAAAATAGATAAGAAAAAAACATGTGAATGATTTATTTGATGAAGTTTGTTTTCCTTTTAAAATGAAATTTTTAAAATAATTTATTTTTCGGTTTTTAGGTACAGAGCGCTAGGACGAAAGTATGTATATTTGTACTTAAAAAAATGTATTTGACACTTGCACTCGTACTTTAAGAAAAGTACTTGGTAATTATATCTGTACTTTGAGATCAATGCTTTTGCACTTAAGTACAAGTACACGTAGAAAAGTATTGATCTCGAATTGCAAGTATCGAGTACATATTTTTAAGTACCAGTATAATACTGTTACATGCGGTACTTGCACTTGTCCTACCTCTGTTTAGGTAATTAATTTAATTAGTTATTCACCATGTCATACATTATTTATTGTGACTAATATCAGTGGTCAATTGTCTATTCTTAATCGTCTTACTTTCGATGTTTGTATTAAGTAAGAAAAGAAAAAGAGATTTTCTTCTAAATTAATTTTATTTAATTTGAAGTTATTCATGAAAAGATGCTGTTTGTTCATTAATATGGAATCCAATTGAAAATCATCGATTACTTGATCAATAATAGCTGTAAGTGTTTTTATATATCATGTAGAGAAAAAATGAATATAAATATGTTTCCTTTTTGATAAGAATCAGAATAATCAACCTCTTAATATAGAAAATAATTCAAGAGAATTTGCAATAGGCAGTTGGAGATTGTTTCTCGATAATCTTAGAAACGTTCATTGATCATCACAAATCATTTTTCCATAATATGATTTGATCCAAGACTTTTATAGAAGTATTTGAAATGGAATCTACTATGTATAGAAAAGATATTGACAATTAATTCTGCTTCTTTAAAAGACAATTATGGATAAGAACGTTTTATTGCTTCCAAAATATTTTCGTTTTTTGTATCGAAACTTAGTCAAAAGGTCTAAGACAATACATCGATCAGCTTCCATCTCTATTCTCGATGCTATTCCAATAGTATTAAAAATTATCCTTGACTTGATTCAACATATAAAATTATTCTTCCCATTCTTTGCAATTCATCTCAAAATAAGAACGTACTGAACACAAAAAATGATGGTATTATACAAAAATCAAGAGTTAAAAATGATCTTTTTATTCATAATGCTCCTTGCTGAAGAAATGCTGAATTAACATCTATAACCCGAGATATTCTGTGATTTATTTTAGGGTGAATATGCTCATGTTGATATATCTGAATATATTTTCAAACCAACATCAACATCATCGGATAAAGTAGATTGCTCCCTTTTGTCTTTCTAATCATTTATTTGATATTTTTAGGAAGAAACTCAAGTTGAAAAAATGACAACTATTGTCTGTTAAAAAAAAAGTGGTGTCGGCCATTTTTGCAATAATTCAAGAAAGGAAAGAGCTAGAGAGCTGCGATTTTCACCAGTCGAAAGAGACGACACTAGGGCATCTATTTCTCCAATATTGTATAAGACGAAGCCATTTTAAAATCAATCATTTCTGCAAAACATTGCAAGAAATATATGAAAATGGTCTGTCGTTCCGATGAAATTTAGGTTTTGATATGTGATTTAGATAGAGGGGCCTCAGATCTATAGTTTAAGATATAATTTGAATGATCATCTTCACGCATTGTAATATTAAACAAATCAAATTCTTTAGTTGCACCCTTGAAAAGTATGAATTTCTCTTCATTTTTAAGCAAATTTTCTTGCTTTCCATCAAAGTTTCATATGAACGACAGGTAATTTTTGTGCCTTTTTTTGATGTTTTGTAAAAATGTTTCATTCTAAAATGACTTCGTCTTATACAATATTGGAGAAATAGATGCCCTAGTGTCGTCTCTTTCGACTGGTGAAAACCGCAGCTCTCCAGCTCTTTCCTTTCTTGAGTTATTGCAAAAATGGCCGAGACCACTTTTTTTTAACAGACAAATAGTCATGGAGACGATAGTAAATAAATAAAGTTTATTCATCTTTGGATCGCTATTTATTAAAGATTCTTAATCAATTTCAAACGATACTGAATCAACAATTGATGATAAAGAATAAATTCGAAAATGATTTAAATGTGTATCATCAATGATGATTAAAACAGAACTTGTTGAATTACAAGAATCATTTCAATCAACATCAACATCAAAATATCTTGAAAGTCGTTTTCTCCTATAGAGTAATATTGGTGCAATAACGTGCTATAATGAATAAAATAAAATCTTATTCCATGATGTATCATATCATCATTCAATTACAATTGATAATAAAACGGATAAATACTCAATTGGTGATTTATCATTATAAGTTATGATTCTTGTTTCATTACAAACAGGAAAATTCTGATGTGCATTATATCAATCATGGGATTTAAATATGAGAAAATGAACAATGAGTACAGAAAATAATGAGAAAATTGAATCAGTTAATTTAGGTGATGATTTTATAGTTGTTGGAACATCTCAAATTTTAATATAATTCGTCTTCAAGGTTCCATTGTTTCAATGTCTGCTGATCAGAATCAATTATTGGTTAATCATCATTCAACTCAAGGTTTTTATTTTCCATGAAACATGAACTGAAAAGAGAATTGAAGTATAAGGTTGATAATCTGATTCTATTTTTCTTGATAAATCGTCATAGACATTGCTTCAAGAGTGAACTTTATTATGTATATTAATGAATTACTAAAAAAGAAAACCATGAATTTATAGGAAAAAGAAAACGATTGAATCCTAAAACTCAATGGAATCTTTGATTCTACCATTTCTTTCTAGCGAAGATAATGTTTCTTTATCTATTCTTTTATACTTACTGGCAACCCTGTCCAATCCTCAATTCCGCTATTCTCTTTTAGTTAATATGTAAAATAAAAAGAGCAAGGAAATATTGATTAGTTTGAATGATGAATTGAAAAAATTATCGGCTATGTACATTGCTAGTCAAGAAGAAAACGATGAAGACTTTAGCCCTAAAGTCTGTTGACGTTATGTAAGGCCCCGAAAAGTCTTACAAAGTCTCTTGAGAACTTGAATGTCTATGGAAGTCTCACAAGTCTTTTGAAGTACCATGAAGTGTTCCGAAGTTCTATGAAGTCTTTCTGAAGTCTCGCATTCTACTGTTTTCTCATTACAATGAACTAATCATATTAACTGCGTACATACTATCAAAAGTCATATAATTAATTTTCAAAGTTTTTTTTTCCTACCTTTATATAATATCTAGCATTTTTGCATGTTGAACAAATCTCATCCGATTTCGAAAGTTTCTTAAATGCTCACCTGGTCTTCAACTTTATTGAAGTCATGTGAAATCTTATAAAGTTTCCATAGTCTGTTGAAGTCCCTCGAAAATTTTAAATATCTACTGTTTAGGTCTTTTAAAGTCTAGAAATTTGCTATTTCTCCGTTGGTATTACTATTAAAATCAGCAGATTTCTTTTCTTAAGATTAAGTAATTTTTTATTTCTAGATTAAATACACAAGATGGATAAATTGATAAGCGAGTTATTAAAAAAAAATGAATTTGATATTAAGAACAAATTCGATTATTTGATTATTTTCATACATGCATATATTGAATATAATTTTCCACAGCCGACGGTAATAAGAACAATACTTTTCTTGAAAAATATTGTTTATTTGTTTCAAAGAAAATTAGCAAAATCATTTCATTTGGTCAAAATCGTCACAATCATTTTACAAAGCGTTATGAAATAAATAGTAACTTAATATACATCGACATTAAAAAAAAACCAAATAATGTCACTTTAACTGCATCAGTCAGTGAAATACTGTTGATTAAATAAAAAGAAAATTTTTTTTAATGAATTTCAGAACCAAACAAAACAATTGGCAGATGTAAACTTGGTATTGGACAATTATGTCATAGAAAAAGACAAAACCTTAAAGTAAGATATTATTATTGTCAAATAAATTAGCATTTTTTATATACTGATATTTGTCTTTTTAGATATGATCAATTGGAAAAATTAGACGAAATATTACATGAATTTTTCATTTGTATATGCTCGACAACATCACGAAATAGTATGTCACAAATGACAAATACTGGCTTATCATCAAATTATTCTGCATATAATTCAACAAATAATCAAGGTGCACAAAAAACATTAAATACTGAAAATTTAGCAGCATCAATGGATTATATNACGATTCATTAGTCTTGATATTCTTAAAGTTTTACGGGGTAAGTTAAAATAGTATATCGTTGCTCTAAACTCGTCAGTCGAGGGTTAAGCGAATCGCACAGCGACGAGCGTTACTTGTTTTTACTATATTTCTTAATTTAACTAATTTAATATTTTATGATGCCTCATATGAAAATCATGTTCGATTATTATTTAATATTCCATCTCCTACTTTTTCTTCTTCATCTCTTTTGATATTAAAAATCAAGGTTCAAAATTTTTCTATATGTCTTTATATTCTCGATGGTCGTTTCGATCAACTTCATACACTTTATATTGAATTGGCTAATATTGTTCCTCCATCAAAAGAAATTGAAAATCAAGTTAGTTTTACATAAAAATAAATTTTTATTTTTATTTTTATTTTTATTTTTATTTCTCTAGAAAAAAATTCCAAATCTAAAATGTTTTGTTTTGTATTGTATTTTGAAAACATCGTATTACAATCAATTAATTTTACCACTTCTTTATCGAATGCCAAATTTAGAAAAACTTAGTTTAGATATCAGAGTCTTTATTAATGAAACATTTATTGATGGAAACAATTTGAAGAAAAATATTCTTAATCGTATGTCACAATTAAAACAATTTACATTTAATATTAGTTCGTCTATTTTTATTAATAATGAAATTAATTTACTATCGAATGAAGACATTCAACAAACATTCAATGATTTTCAATATAGTAAAATAATATGTTGTGTTGATTATTCTCAAGAGTATAAACAGGTTCTATGTCATATTTATTCATATCCATTTTTAATGCAACATTACGAAGATGTAACAAATAATTTTCCAGGTGGATTATATCCATATGTTCGTCTTATATCATTATATGATGAACGTCCTTTTGAACATGATTTTTTTATTCGAATATCTCAATCATTTCCATTTATGGAAAAATTATCTATCAATAATCTTCATGCACAAAAACAAAAAGAATCTTATAAATTAATAAATGATAAATCGAATTTATCAATTATTAAATATGATCATCTTATTGAACTTCAAATAGATCGAGCTCATGATGATTATATTGAAGAATTTTTATGTAATACAAAAACCTATTTACAAAATAATATTTTTTTTGATGTCCATTATGAAGCATTAAAAAGAGTAACACATAATTTTACAAGAGATGATACACGAATTAATTCTACCAAAGTAAATCAACTATTTTTATTTGGAAAAGTCGAATGTTCAAAATCTTGTCAAGATTATTTTCCTTTTGCAGTAATAAATTGATTATTATTATATTACAAGTAAAACAGAAAACTATCTTTTGTATTGTATATTATTGTGAAAAAACAATGTCATACAAAGAAATTAATATGTTCATCTGTAAAAAGATATAATATGTCAAATAAATTTTTTTTTTTTATAATACAGAACATTTTTAAGTGTTAATAAAGGAATTTCAATTCTATACTCTATGGACACAAACTAATTTCATCTTATTTCCACCATTACAAATTAGTTCGTTTTCCCTTGTTTTATACATATCAATATTAATGAGAAGAATATTGTTTTGAAAGAAATCATTTTCAATGGTACATGAATATTTATATAAAAAAAAATTTGAAAAAAAACTTTCAATTATGCTTGTCCAATTTAAATTTTTGAAAAAAATAAAATGTAAAATAAAATTTATCTTTTCATTGTTTATGAAAGAATATATCCAATTGATAACTTTATTTTAAGCTCATATTTTACTCATAGACATAGGTAGGGATCGTAGTGTAGACAAAAACTGTACAAAATGTTTGTGCTATTGCTACCGTATTTCAGAAAAATAAAGATAAGAAATAACAAGTTTTGTATAGCAGAGAGGCGTGAGTACATGTACAAGTTGTACTTGTATAGTTTTCACTATGTGATCTCATGTATATATATGTACATGCACTCGTATCTATTCATATTATTCGAGTACATACGAATACATACGAGTACATGAATTACGAAAAAAATGGACGAAAAAAAATTTTCGATTTTGAACACGATGATCCGCGCATTCTATAGTATTATATGAGAGAAGAATATGAATAAATTTTCCCGACTACCACTTTCGAATTGACCGAGATACAAGAGTTTTTTACAAATACTGTTTACATTCAAGGCCTAATGACATTGATAGTACATAATGTAGCTCGATTTTTTGACGAGATTTTAGAATTTAACGTTGAGCCTTTCTTTTATAATGAGGAAACATGTTTAATTCAGAGAATTAGCAGTTAAAGCAGCATAATTTACTCTAAATTATATTTGGCTGTTACACTTTTACAGCGATAAAATTTGCAAATGTGCAGTAAGGTAGAGAATGTATATATAATATAATGGATAACAGGGCAAGTGTGGACGTGAGTGTGAGTGCAATGGGTGAAGAGAAAAGCCACATCCACACCCACTGACCTCGGAACATTTCACTCAACCTCAAAATAGTGATGTTTACCGATCAGACCGAAAAATACTATAGGAATAGAGTTTATAATTCACAACATAAAAGGAAGAAAACTGAGAGTCGAAAGTAATAATGAACGTTCTTTCCGACAAGATAGTCAAAATTGAATTAGAAATTTTGTTGCGATCGCATTTATTAATGGTCTCATGGGACATCTTTTAAATGGAATGATTTTCACTGTTTAGCATCGCGAATAGGATCAGTTTTCTAGGTTTTTTCATATTTCCTAGTAGAACGTTGGCACATCTACGTCTATGGTCAAATTTACAGTAGTGAGTTGCTTCAGCTGATTGTCTTTGATTTGCGTGATTGGCAATGAAAATATTTGGTCTTCATGTAGGTCGGAAAGTAAGGCTACTCTTGAGTTCAAGCAAACATATCGAGTCATCAAATTCATAGCCATTGACGTAATTATACCGATTAATTCAAGGATAAAAGGATCATTTAGCAATTAGTATTTAGTGATCAATCCTCATCACTTTATTTCTCGTTGTAATAGTTAGATCGGCTTGAATATCTCCGAGCTATACAAACCAACATAAAATGTTGGGTGTATCTTTATGTTGATCGAGAAAAACATTTTGAAAGCCTAAGTTTTCGCTTGCTTTGAGCATTTTCGACAAATCGACATGTTCAATGGAATTCCAAAATCGTGACATGCTTGTTTGGAGTTTTAGATCACAGAATTATTTATTTAAATTAATTTGTTGACTGGAATCATGGTTCGAATTCGAATGAAATTCCAAAAATTAACGTCTTATTTTCGATACGAGCCACCTAGCCCTTTTATCGATCATGATAGATGCTTTGACATGCTGATCCTCTGACCTTATCGCAGATATTCATCATCAATATGAAGATCATTTTCAAATAGTTCTATTGTTTTTCTATTTGAATCTTAGTGAAATTAAACTAAAAATTTTTCTTCTAATCAATTTTATTTTGAAACACATCGAATAAAAGTAAATCATTTTAGGAAATTTCAGTTAAATGTATCAATAAACCATAAGGTACAATAGATGCACGAAAAGTTGTAAATATTTCTACTTGACTATTTGGTATTATTGGACAAATTCTCTTATTACCAGCTTCAATTGTTTCTTGTTGAACTTGAAATGTTCCTGGCTTTTGTCGGCATTGAATAACAATACGTGCATTATAAAGATTATTTGTTATTTTTGATCGAAATTGTTTTGATGGACAATAGCAGGGAATACTCGAATAGGCTATAGTCGGTGACGTATAAATATGATATTGTTCTTTAATATGTCCAGGATGTATCGCAATTTTCTCGCCATCTATGCATTTATCACCAGGTATTAGAAATTGTCGATAAGCAACAATTGAATGAGCTGCTTCCGCTGATGTTCCATGATAGGTCACGATCCAATCATGCCAGATATGATCAACATCCGATCGTATCTTATCAACTTGAAGACCAAATCGACACCAGTGACGTGGAATAACATAAAGTGAACCGGCTTCTACAAGAGTATTGTTCCATGAATCTGGATAACAATTAGAACAGTAGCAACGATTAAATCGTCGGTCAAATAAAGCTTCATTCCAATTCAATGATTTAAGATATTCTACACAAAGACTTTTATATTTACAAGGGCTCGAAACTTTTGCATCATTAGAAAGTAAAGGATTCGAATAGTTTTTCCAAAGACGATTGATCGTGTTCTTTCGATTTGTGCTTTGATGGCATTCCATCAAAAGAAGCAATTTTATCATTTGGTGGAAATGGAGGTTTATGAAACTGATGTCCACAATTTTGGCAACAATTAACATCAAACGATGGTGTAATCGCATGACATGCAGTACATCGCCGTGTCATTGTTCAATTTTGATACTTTACAATAGTTATGCTATGAAATTGTAGGTTGTTCTTTTTTACGTTTCATATATCTTTATATATTTACCTTAACAATAAATACTTCAACAAGTCACGTTTTTCTTCGTTTCTTTTTTTTTCTTCATTTTCATTTACAGACTTCACGCTATGTCTTACTGTATTTTTTTTTCTGCACTTACTCTTCAACAGTAGCGGCGTAACCAGAGTTTTGGCGGTGGCAGGGCTCAGCAACGCTTAAATATCCGGTGGTAGGGCTCAGGTTACTGAGGTCTGTGGGGTGGTAGGGCTTGTGAAAGGATTCAGCTGACGATACTAACACCGGTGGTAGGGCTGAAAGGTCGGGTGGAAGGGCTGAGCCTCCCCCCCCTGGCCCTACCTTGGTTACGCCACTATTCAGCAGTTTAACTCAAAACTATCACTTATCAATATCTGAGTATGACTCATTTTATAGACATGAATTTAATCGATGAGTTGGTTTTTTCCAAGTTATATCTAAAAGATACGGAAATCTTTTGAGAACACAACATTCATTAGAAAACATCAAACTGATTGCTTGTATAGTTATGCAAGTTTATAAAAGAAGCTCATAGATACTGGTCATGAAAGAATTCACCATTGAACATCAACGTTGTTCTTTGATCATTCTATAATTTTAGATGGGTTCATGTCATCGCAAAAGTGTCGTCGCTCCATTATTAACACCGAACGGTATGTCTTACATGCATCAACTTATATTTTTCATGTCTAATAGATTCTTTAGGAAAAAGAGTAGACAAAATCTAGAGACTGAAAATATCGTTGGAATAATTTAATTAAACTAATAAAAACGAAAACATAGTAGGTTAGAAGTTTATTCGCTATACTTTCAGTTCAATATAAAATCAAATCCTGTCTCTAATCAGAGTACATATGCCAGCGAACGTCTTTCGAAATTGATTTCAATGGATCTTTATTCAGTTAAATAGATTTAATGTTACTGACCAGATGATCATATCGATTTTTCTTCGCTAATAACAAAACGCCTTTCCCTTACTGTTAAAGAACGACATACAAGATTATCTTGATGATACGATTACCATATAACTATGCATTTAGTGACACATTCTGACTATTCAAAATGAATCGTTCATTTTTATGATATACTACTTACATTGGATAGTTATTGTTACGAACGATTAAAGTAATTATTAGTGAATTCATAGAGCTGTTAATCAGCTTGATTTCAATCGTTCTGCTTCCTGTACATCGTGAAGCGCAGTTTGGATAATTAAAGTATGCTAAATACAAGTAAAACAGTGCTCTGACTATTGGTATGAGCGATCGAAACTCTATGAATTCACTAACAATCGCTTTAATCGCTTACAACAACAACTATCATATATACCTAGTATTCCATACAAATGAGCAATTCCGTTTGGATAGTCACAATGTATCATCAGATGCGTATTTATGTGTTGAAAATGATATTCAACTTCGGGAAAGAAGAGGAAATGTAGTTTAACTAGTCAATGGTTAAAAATTTTCCACTGATATTAAGAAAAGGAAGGTAAACCAGTTTTTAATTTTCATCAGTCTCAATAGGAAATTCGTTTACTCTACGAACTGCAACGCAATCTCAGACCATAACAACACATTTTCTCACTATTTCTGTTGGAAGATGGAAGAAAATGAGATTATTTCAATCGATGTTTGAGATTTCACACTTCGAAGAGTACGAAAAAAAATGTTTTGTGATTTCATCGACAGACATTTTCGTATAAATCCAATGTTTCGAATAATTTGAATTGCCTTTAAAAACAACTAATATCGTATTGCATTTGTTCATTTAAAAAAAGACTTTTGAACTTTTGAATCGTGAACAGTTTACACATCATATCTGAAAATCTTGTCAAGTACTATGAAATTGATGTGTTTATGTTTGTTTGAAGTTGTTCAATGTCCAAAACAAATTTGTCTTCAATATTTGAAAAATTTACATTTGAATAAAAAGTATTTCAATAAACGTCATGATAGATGTTATTGCACCAAATGTTATGGACCTTCAAAATCAAAAGTCTACCCGAAAAGCAATCCGAAATTCACAGTACCCATAGGTTGAGTATCGTTTGGAATTCAAGTAGTCAACGCATTTGCTTCTAATAACCAAATATTTAAAAAATGGTTTACGACATTCTATGGAACATCGAAAGATAAACTTGACGATATTATTCACAATCGTTTCATACCATTTCCTGGTGATGATCTTCTATCGGGTAGAAAGTTCACTCTTAATCTACCAGATCAACATCATATTTATACATTGCCCTCCATAAATTACGCTTCTCTAGACTATGTATGTCCTGTTGATAGCATGAAAATTAATAATTATTGGTACGCTTTTCAAGTTGTTCTTCAATGTAAACAGAACCCAGCTTTTTTTTTTTGGAGTCAAAGCCTTTTTATTAAGATGTTACGAAGAAAAAACAAAAATATAATACAGAAGGCTGGAGAGAAACGGCGAGACGCTTGACGAATGTCTTATGTCTCGTGAAAGT